TATAGAATACTTCTGAATTCTTGAAAGATGAATTAGTACATAAAATTCTAACTTCTATTTTAGTCGAAATTGCAATGTCGTTTTTCTGGTTCATGTATTATTGATATTTATACACGTCGTCAATGTACATATTGTCGATTAAAAAAATGTTTTGATATTAAAATGCGTAAAGATTGGATTCGTACTGATGAAGAAAAACAAATAAGACAATTCATAAAATTAACAAAAGAACAAAAGAACATAAATAATCTATCGAATGATCAACAATCTCTTATTAATTTTCCAATAATTGTACGAAAGAAAAAACGTAAAATAATAAAATCAATAAATCAAGAACTTGTTATTAAACCGGTAAATATAAATAAATAATTATTGAATAATAATTATGATTTTTGTTGTTGTTATTTAATCTTTTATTAGATCCTAACACAAATATTTTTTGGTTTTAATCGTAATCTATCTAATAATGATCAAATCCTATTAAATAATATTACAAATGCTTATCAATTAAGAACTAATGATATTGATGATTTTTATTTAAATAGATCTATATCATCTACATCAATAATAAAATTTTTTAATGAAGAAAGTATAATGCATGAATCATTAATTTATTTTTATAAATCAATACCTGAATTTAAACAATTAGATATACATGATCAAGTTTTATTAATTAAATCAAATCTTATTAAAATTATTCATTTACATTATATTCTTCAAGAAAAATTTCAAGAAAATCCATATATTAGTTTATATATGTCAAAATGGATAAATAAAGAATTTCATTATCAAATGTCTCGTACACGTCGATATTTTGATCGTTTTATAGAACATCCATTAATATTAAAACTTGCACTTATTGTTTTTTTATTTAATATTAATTTATCTATATCATATAATAATCATCAATTTAATGATTATAATAATAAAATGAATATATATAAAATTCAAGAATTTTATATAATTCTACTTTGGCGTTATTTAAATTATTTATTTAAAGAACAAGAAGCAATAAAATCAATGGAAATTATAATTACAAAAATTTTACATTTTCAAAATTTAATGAATATAATGGAAGAAAATATAAGACAAGAAGTAGATTGTAATACACTTAATCAATTAATGCAATCTTTATTTCAATTAACATAACAAAAAATATTATATTTTTATTATTTAATTGTTAATGTTCTATAGATTTAAAATTTTTCAATAATTTATAAATACAGAGTATTATTATTCTTAATGTTTGTTTGATTTTTTGTAAACATTCACTTTGAATAAAAAATTATTAAACATTGAATTCTATTTTTTAATGTTTATCAAAGAAAAGTATAATCAGTGCAAGTTTCAAGTCAAAGTTTTGCAACTTTCTTCTTCTTTCATAGCAACCGAGAACAACAGACATCAGAGTCCGTTAACAATGAGAAAATAAGATTTAGAATGTTCTAGAAAATGCCAATGTTTTTGAATTGTTGAAATAAATTTGCGAATATTTTAAATAGTGCAGCTTTTTATTTTTGCACAAATAAAAATTTAGATTCAAGAAAATATGAATGATGATGGATAGTGATGCATTGATTTGCAACAGTCATCGTATGATCAGTATAAAAAGTGTGAACTAATCATGTTATTATTTTAGAAAATAATCAATAATAGAGCTTCTGCAAGAGAAAACAAAATAAGACAGATCATTTCCCTGAAGATCGATTATTCTTAGAAAACAACTATAGTCTGACAGAGACTTTTCACTTGATGTATTTTGTATTAGTAGAATGAGCCTAAAGAATACATGTGAACTCCATATTTTAGCTCCAATGAGGCTGCATTGATAAGCTTTTTATTTAGATTGAAGACATCTAAGCCATTTTATGAGAAAAACAAACCTATGCACAAATATAAACTCAAGAAATTTATAGATTAATGTGTGAAGTAGCTCAAAAATCTGAAATTTGTCAGTAGTAATCGACAACTATACACTAATACATTCTATATTATATAAATGTTTGAGTCTAAGAAAATTAATCAAATGAAAATTAGTTGCTAGGAGACAATAATTAAGAGTACCCCTCCCTCTTTTTTGACACTTGCTGGTTCTCGAAGACGATACAACCGATCAAGCTGGAATTTTTAGTACACATAGAGCACTAAAAATAAAGAGATACGTGTTCGAGGAAAAAAGATTTAAAATAAGTTTTTGTGGGGTTTTCCAGAGGTCCGCATCCTGACACATGACGACCCGCTCCCACTTAAAATTTGTCCGATTGGGCTGAAATTTTGTTTATAAATGCCTAACACTATTCCTCCGAGGTAAATTTAAGAATTTCCAAAACTCTCACTTTCTTTTTTTTTTATAAGAGAAATACGCCAAGATTTGAGTTTGTGTTTCGGGTCTCGGCTTTCGTGACCCTGTAACTCCGAGTAGGACCATCAAAAATGAAAACGCTTGTTTTTACTTCTGGAGAATACTTCAGCGGCATTAGTGGTAAAATTTTCAGCTCGATTGGACAAACTAAAAAGGGGGGTCGTAAGCAGTCAAGATTTAGAAAATCACTGTTTTACAAAATGCTAAGTAAAAGAAAAATCGAATAATGTCTCTAGTTGCATGTGGCACTTCAGGCTATCGTACCTTAGACTCAGCTCGAAATCGAGTTTTTGGTCACCGAAGAGAGAGGAGGGGGGGGGGATCGTTAAGAGTTTTGTAAATAAAGAAAAAGAATCTTTCTCAAGTAAAGCTTTTAAATGAGACGGATAAATTAAACCACGACAAAAAAGTTTCTTGTAATATAAAAATTATTAAATTAACATTCCATATGATTCGAACTGGACATAAACCGTTGGTAGAGCGTTAGATATAATGCGCACTATACCAACAGTATTTGCTAGTAATAGAAAAAGAATCGGTGATAGTTTGGTACTTAAATGGTTAGTTATTCTCTGATTGTCATTCTATGACGGTATGCTGATAGTTATTCTTAAACCGACAAGTCTGTCATATTGACGATGGTTTCTGGTGAGAAGTAGAAAATACATATTGTTTATCATCATTAATAGTTGAAGTTTTTACGGGTTGCTTTATATAGCATAGGTTCATAGAGTTTTTTGAACTGAAAATTTCGTCAGCGGTAAATGTCAATTTTTGATTTGAAAAAAGCAACAGTTATAAGTGTATCTTCTACGCTTTTGATGTTTGTTCTGGTGGAGAACCATGGAATCAGAAGTACATACACCGAATGAAAATCGAATTTAATGGTTTTGGTTAGATTTCTTATTGCTTCTAAATGATTAATCATTTCATAATGAAAACAAAACTGAGGAAATAAAAAGGACTAAAAAACTGTTGTTCCAGATTTGCTATCGGAATAAATGACATATGGAGAACATAACTCTTTAGACTTCCTACAAATATATCCTGAACTAATCGGTCTATATTGCTCTTCTTGAGAGAAACTTCGCCAAATGATCATCCAGATGCATAGGAACCTTTTCGGAAGTATATGCATTAAAAAATTCAATAGTTCCACCAAGTCTAAATATAAACTCAAATTTGTTTGGGATGTTCATTAGAATATTATACAGTATCTATAGGCACAAAAACAAATATTGAAATCGGAAGCGGATATCTGGGGACGTTCTCTTATTAGTTTTACTTAATGCAAAGCTTTGTAATGATCGCATTGGTTTCATCGATCATGAAATAAATAATAAAAAAAAAAAAAAATAATGCAACAACAACTTCGAAGAACCCGATATGCTTTGCTATTCTATTCCAAGGCAAAGCTGACATTTTCTTTTTTTTTTCCTTTTCTCTTCTGATTACGTTTTCTCGGTTCTTTTGCGTCGTCGTCGTCTTCATCTCAACATCGTTGCTTCGCCAATTGAACATCACGTGTCTTAACCGATGCCATTTTTTCTATGAGGCAACAAACAAAAAGAAAAACATCGAGACATGTCCCTACGTTGTTTCTTCGTTTTGCATTCCTGTTCTTCGATTATTACGATCTAGAAATTGGCAACATCTCTATCATTCTATTTTCTATTTATCCATCAGTATTTTACGTCTTTATCTCTCTTATTTAATTTTAAATAAATGGAGCATACCAATAGTAATTATGAACTATGGTACATATACAATTTTTACCTATTTCAATATTCTTAATTATATCATCGTCATGCCTCAATTAATATTTATACAAAATAGTTTAAAATTAATTTATCTTACAATTGTAAGTCTCTATATATAGGTTGAATATTAGAAGAAAAAAAAAGAAATTTTTAATTTTTTTTCGTGATTATTGATTAATTAAACTTCGGACAAAGATTATAGATGGAGTTTTGAAGTATCAATAGCAATTTCTTTTTTTCTCATGTATAACTATAGGACATTCAAATGATGTTTGAAATGTAAAAACATCGTGAGTATTAATAATTGTCAAGAAAGTAAAAGAAATTCATTTCTATGATTGAGTACAAAATGATATTCTTGAAAAGATATTTATATTTTATCGGAAATTCACTGTATCAGATGATCGCTAATAAATAATTGATGTTCATGCATTTCTTTAGTGTAATTTAAAATCTATTTTCCTTCATCATTCAATAGAGAATTTATTTCTTTACAAAACAATTGATTTTGTTTTTTTCTTTCGACAATATTTTTCTTGCCGGTGAAATATTAAAAAGATTAATATCTATTGAATTATTTAATAAGAGAACGTTTCTAAATGTCTAATTGTTTTTAAGTCAGAACTGTATTTTGTATAGAGATAGGCCTTAATGAGAATCATTTATTATAAAATCTTCAGATCTTTTAGTTATTTTTATTCTAAGACACGACTATGATAAAGGCATGTTTTTCATGCCGCTCATATACAGCGGTAGATTTCGATGTTCTTATTTCACAATACGTTATTCTCGTTAAGGTTTGTCTCTGTGCAAAGTTTCAAATCGAAATTTTAAGCTCAGTATTCCTGACAAAGGCTATGACATTCTGATAAAAAATACAGTATGTCGTTAACAATAAACTATTATCTCGAACTCTTTTCAGGACATTCATAACTCATTTAAACCTAAATGATGCATATAGTCCTGACTTAAAAAAATAATTTGATACTTAAAAATGTTTCCTTTGTGAGTGCAACTTAGGATGTCACTAGGATATTTAAAACATTTTAGCTATTGAAAAGAATTTTTCAAATTCCATATTATATTGTTTCGTAGAATTATAAATTCTCTATCGAATGAGATTAAACGTAAATTTTAAACTACTTTAATCAACCCGATACAGCTTTAGTTTTTCAAAAAAAAAAAAGTTATGGCTACTTGTTAATGATCGCGAAATACAAAAAACTTCATAGAGAATCTTCTTTTTCCGAAATATTCTGCAAACGAACGGTAGTATCATTCACGGGTATTTGTAAATAAAAAAACTTGGAAATCCTGTTATGCCAGCATTTCCATCTATATACGTATGTCATCCTGAAATTGTTTCATATATAGCATATGAAGAGTACTATCGAACACTATATTTCAATATTGTATTCGTTCACCTTTAGAAGAAATAAGAGACAAACATCTTTCTTTCATGGACATCATACAATTTTTTTTAATAAATATTAATTTCAACATTTTTGAATTCTTCAGCTAAGAAATATTCAAATTCATCAATATTTTTCAGTTTTCTTTTTTTTTATGATCGATCATATATTCTCAATAGGATTAACATCAGGAATGTTCGATGATCAATCTAACAATTTCAGTACATTATTGCTGATAAATTGTTTACAAATATCACTAGGATATTTTGGATCATTGTCCTATTGTAGACACCAATTTCGATGAAATTGTCCTAAAATGAACAGTAATGTTACATTGTTTCCGCTTATTACTTACATCTAGCAGTAGGTAGAAGGTAATTTTCAAGTATATGAGCATAATAGACACCATCGAGATTACATTTGAATGTGTGACAAGTCAAAACACTTTTGACACTTACAACACTCTAGATATGAATTTTTTGACCAACGACGAATAGTATTACGAAAAAGTTGAAACGAAGATTTATCTGTAAAAATTATACATGTCGTTTGTTTTTCACTGGATTTCAACACATATGAGTATCTTTTTTTGGCAAAACATTCTTATAATCATATTCATGAAGATGACGACTGATTGTTGATGTAGATACTAATTTACAATGTGCTTTGGACAACTTTTCCTTTATTTCATTGTTTTGTCGAATATATTGACCAATAGCTTTGTAATTGCTTCCAATAGGAAAAAAAATAATTTTTTCCAAATTTTTTTGCAAACACTTGTATATCTTAATAGTTTTCCTCTCGTTTGTGAATTAATATTTTCGAGATCATCGTATTACAAAAAAATAATTTTCAATGTTTTTGTTTAATAAGAAATACAGAAAACTTTCGACAAAATATTATCGAAATATTTCACACTTTTAAATTTCATCAGGATTCATATAAATGTTGTACTTCCTAACATATTAATAATAAAAGAAAAAAAAAATCAAATATTCAAATAGACATCTCCTTAGATTTAAATGACATTTATCAATTGAATAAAATGTATTGAATATACACCTGTACAAACGATCGAACAATTTATGATGTGCATTTGTAATGAAATTTAATACGTTCTTTTTTCTTCATAAGCAGTGGGTACCTTTTCTTTTTAAAATGTCAGATAAAAGATTTATATTTTCGTGAGAAGGATAAATCGGTCATACACAGTTGGTGAGTATAAATAAAAATGAAATGAAATAAGCAATAGCATATGATAAAATTTGATTAAGTAATTTATAATGTATTTTGTTTAAATGTTTGACATAAATTTGTATGTTTCTGTTTATTACTTCCTTCCTTTCTTATAAACTAAACGAATAAGTACTAATAAACAAAGAACTTATTTTTCATTTATTCAGTTGATAATTGAAGTACACATACTTCTACAAATTTAGTTACTAGTAAACTTTAACGTACAGTTAGAAAAGAATCTGATCCATAATGCTTTCGTATTGAATTTATAAGTTATTATATTTCTTTTCAGATCAATTGGTTTTACAATATAAGTTCAATGTTTCGTCAATGGAAGAATCGACTACAATGTTCCAATACACATCAGACTTATTTATCAATTGATAATGAAGTATGAAAGAATTGTCTATCAAAACAAAAAAAAACAATGATTAATATTCTCATATTGTTTTACACTTTTAGTTAGAAAATGTATATCATAAATTAGATAAATTATTTAATGAAAATCTTTTATTAAAAATTCAAATTGATAAATTAGAAGGACGAGTAAATTACTTACTTTTTTTTTTTAGTTCTTTTAAAAATTATTTCTTTATATTTATTTTGAAGCATGAACATTGGATTATGAATGAACAAATTTATTTATTAAAACGTATTGAAAAATTAGAAAATGAAAATTGTCAATTACGTGAAATTTATCAAACTTATCAAATACAAAATGAAAAATGTATTCGATCAATAACTGATCTAATTATTAAAATACTCTTAACTCAACAAGTAAGCATCTTATATCAGTTATCATTTACTCTAAACAAAATTTAGGTCAAGAAAGTTTGTTGTTTTTTTTGTACACTGTTATCTTGTTCTTAAAAAGTATACGGTAAAGACTTCATATAGTTTATCTCGAAGGTTTTTGTGTATTTTAAGTATATTTATTTGTGTTAAACATTTTCTTTTTTGACGTTAAGATATGACTTTTGAAATTTCATCTTCTCTTTTATTCTTACGCAGTAAAGATTTATAAAAAAAAAAAAAAAAAAAGATTATTATTTGTAATGCAAAGAATAAAAGCAGAATGTGATAAGAAAAAAATGATGATGATTAACATAGACAAATAAAATAAACCAGAATAAATATGACAAGATACGAAAGACAACGATTTCAAAATTTTCTTAGTCGATGTTTTTCATCATGTCATGATGATTTAACATTTCAGGTATGATTTAAAATAGAAAAATTTATAAAAATTAATATTGATAATGATATATTAACTATATTATTTCTATTTATAGGAACTCAGAAAACAACATACTGCAAATGATACGACTCATTGGAGGAAGAAGCAACAGAAAGTAAGTTAATTTTTTTTTATTTCACAAGAATCATATATTACTTTTATTTAACATAGAATGAATCATTTTCTCGAAATACAATTTCTATCTCATGTCCTATGTCTTACAATCAATCGGTATTATTATTATTATTATTAGTATCATAAATTATTATTTATAATTTTTCCTTGCCGTTAGGATAATAGTGAACATATTACTAATAATAAATCCATATGTTCTCATCAACAATCGATGATTGTTGAAGATCAAGATCAAAAAACAACAAATCAATCATCGGGTATATAAATAGGAGTATTTTTCTCATGAAGACATTTATGATGTAACTTTGTTTTCTCCGGCTTTTTTTTCTTCTTCTTCTATCGTACACATGTCTAATTAGAATATTACAGAACGGCAAAGAGAAAGTGTATAGAAATAGAGACGAAGAAAAAAAAACCCCGAGAAATGTAGAAAGCAAATTTCTATAATTTTCCATTAAGAAAAGAATATACGAACGGACATCAGAAACGGCAGCATCTCTCTAAGACATAAATGTGTACATTCATTAGATTAATAAATATACATGAAGAAGACAAATTTTGAATACAGTAAGATAATATTATTTGTATTTTATTGTATCAAATTATAATTAGAGTTTACTTTGTAGAATTAAAAAATTTTCGATAGATAAAGAAATATAAAACTATTTTTCTTGAATGTAAAGAAATTGGTACTAATACAATTTGAGCACGCCCCCATTGTTTATTTTATGGAACAGAAAATTTATTGAATAATAAGTACATCCTATATCAAGTACGCGTGATACTGAGTGTGCTTATTATTTAATAATTCTTTTTCCTGTTCTATCAAATAAACAATGAGGGTGTGCTCAAACTACACTTGTACTAAGAAACTTTTTACTCTCATATACATTCTTTCATTTGGATCAATTGTCTTATTTCTGACTAATAAAAAAAAACCTTATCTCATCATACCCGTAGGCTTTATATATATATATATAAATTTGATTTATATTCTGCTGTAACATACGTCATCAAATTTCTGGGTTTTTTTGTTTTCTACGATTGTAAATTTATAATTGCTGAAAAAATCGGGATAAACTGAGAAATAGGATTATTTTGTTCTGTAAGACTTTAAGTAATATCCAATTAAGCAAGAATGTGTAAAAGTTTCTACTCTCATTTAGTATTATATATGCGTCAACATTCTAGTAAGACATTTTCTTTTTACTAAGATGACAAGAATATTAATCAAAAGAAAATGTGTCAACATATTTCTAAAATATTATTTATCTTTAAATTTTAATAATGATGAAAATCATAAATCGAAGATTTAATCAAGTTTTAAAAATTGTTACCGCAATATGATGTAGTTGCATTTACTAATCGCAAGAAGGTACTATAACGAAAAATACGTTATTAAGGGCACCCCCTCAAAAATTGATCTCAGCCCAGGAACTTTCAAATGACATGAAAATTTCAGGATATGTTGAGGCTGGTGAGACATGGCTATGGTCAAATTTTCAGCCCTATAACACAATGTTTAACCGAGATATGCACCAAACAAGGAGCAAAAATAGCTCTTTAGTATCTCCAAGTTTTCTCTGTGGGTCTTCATTCTAGACATTTAATTTTTTTTTTCTGTTTGAAAGAGCATGTCAGAATGCAACGACTCTCGTGATTCTTTTTTTTAAAGTCTTACTTTTTAGGGGAAAAAACCGGAGCGAAAGTTCAATGACTCAAAAAACCTCTCTAAAAATTGCGCTGCTCCGATAGAGATGTTATCTTCTATGATAGTAAAAAAGCTTATTTTCAAAAACAGGACCACGAGAGTCGCTAGCACTGTACATAAGCTTTCAAACAAAAAAAAATATTTGGCTTTATCTCTTACTGTGATGGAGTTCTGCTGGAGATACGTCGTTGAACCCACGTTCTGAGAAAAACGAATTTTGTAAAAACCGCTTATTTTTCGAATATGGGGTGACAAAAATCTTCCAGAATTTTCGGAAAAAAAAGAGGTGTTGAGTAAAAGCTTTTGCCATTTATGAAAGACCATTTGACGAGCTATATCCCCATGAGGTTATCTCAATTTCGATCATTTTAACGAAAAGTGATTTTTTTTGGGGGGGAGGGGAGCCTTAAGTTTTATAAAGTCAATATAAGTCAGAAACATCTCTCTTTTTCAATCTAAAAAGTCCTACTTAGAGCAATGCACTTGAGCTATGCATCAGAATCAGAGAATTCCCAATCTGAATTTTATATATGTTATTCAACTTTTTATTGTCTACAAAATGGTAAAAAAATTTTTCCATCGAGTCGAAATGGGGCTTACATATTCTCCTATTTGATAATTTTTGATTGCTTTTTTCAACAAAAACGGAACATTTTCATTGTCAAGATATAATTGTAATGCAAAATTTGGAAGCAGCGTTGAATCACAGAAAATTTTTTTCTATCAAAAATTCACCTGTACTCCCCACAACTGTATTTAAAAAAGAAATTTGTCTCTAGTGTTTCCCCAGGGGTCAATTTTTAATAGAAAATAATTTTCCGTGATTCGACGCGGATTTCAAATTTTGCATTACAATTATGTTTTGACAATGAAAATGTTCTGTTTCTATTGAAAAACGCAACTAAAAATTATTAAATAGGAGAATGTGTAAGTCTCATTTCGACTCGATGGAAATTTTTTTGTTTTACCATTTTGTAGACTGTTCTAAGAAGAACTTTTTAGATTGAAAAACAGAGATGTTTTGACTTTATAAAACTTGAGCTGATAGATATTATATTATGTGTAAATAGTTTATTTTATTCAGCTTTTAGTTCTCTATCGTTCGGTATATAGCATGAAAAATTTCAATGATCTGTCGAAACGTAATCTAGCACAATTTTAATCCTCTGTTTTTCGATGCTCTCTCTCTCTAATTAATAATTCTGATTGTCTGTATACTATTAGTAGGAATGTGTATTGTTGGTATAAATATTGACGGTAAATCATCGATATAGAATCCTAATAGCTTCCAGAATTTAATTTAATTTTCTACAAATCCCGTGATACATTATATCTTGAAATAGAAGGTTATTAGACTGAATGCGACATTCAGAATTGACTCTTCAGAATTATGATTTTCTTTTGACACATGTATCAATAGAAAAATTCAATATGTTCCCACAAAAATAAATCTCAGTGAGTCCTATTTAATACTGAATCGATGATATTGGTAGCCAGTAAAATGAAACTATACATTCGGAATTATTAGTATAAAATGCAAAAAGGCCAACAAAAAATATATTAAGGTCAAACTAATTTATTAAATAAATCCTTGGATAGATTTCTTTTTATTTCATTAAGTAATTGCATTACCACATTGTGTACGGAATATTCAACCTTGTCTAAGTTTATTATCAAGGTTAAATTCTTTCTTGTTTTTCCTTAAGGGATACTTCCCCCTTTTCTAAGCTTCTAGAGAACGACTAAATTGTGCTAGACTTAAAGTTCCTGAATATCACATACTATGAGATATTTGACTCACAATTGGTCAAGACTTCTTGTTTTGTATTAGTAAGGACAGAAAATAAAATAGTCAATGAAAGAATCAAAAATAAAAAAACTAAGAATAAACCATTCTGAAGATATTAATGCTTCAACCAGCGATTAGGAATAGTCTTTAATATTAGTCTGAAGTCGAAAATTTTCAATTTCATAACATTGATTGTATTTCCAGAAGTTTGTCTTTTTTGCAGATCGATAGAGAACATTTTAAAATATATATATACACCAATAAAAACCGAAAAATTGAAAAAAATTTTGATTTTCATATCCGTACTCTTAAGAGAATAATACAATTCTTTATAGGATTAAATAATACTTCATCAAAACTGACTACTATTAAATCTAAATCTAATAAATCATCAACTTCTTCAACAAATAAACTTTATTTCGTTCTAAATAATGAAAAAACATCAGTAAAATCAATACAAAATAATTGTCATTCATCAAAGATTAATATCATACCTATTGATGATTCTCATCATAAACAACAATTATCAACATTAAACAAAAATCAACAACAAACTAAAACTACCTATTCTAATCATGAAAAATCATCAATACAAACATCAAATCGTACAACAACATCTATATCAAAACCATCACGTGTAAGAACAAAAAAAAAAAGTAATTTTTCTATATAAAAACAAAATATCGTATATTACAGATTCCAACAACAACAGCAAATAATCGACAACGCCCACCTATTCCTTCAATTACAAATCAAAAGACAATTCATAAATCATCTCGTCCTCCTTTCACATCAACAAAACCAACTGAATCATTTCCATCTGTTCGTATTACATCAACACGTCCACAATCAGGATCAATCATTACAAAAATAACAACAACAAATAATAATAAACCACCTACATCTTCTGTTGTTCGACAACCAGCACATGTTTTAATAGCCGAACAACAAAATAACAATACACTACCACCACCAACAATCGTTTTACCTTCTTCATCTATAATAAATAATGGTCAACATGTTTTATTTTCGAAAGATACTGTTAAACGAATACGACCTGTTCGGAGTCATGAATTAAAATTATTTTCTAATCATTTAACACCAGAAATTTTATCTCAAACAAATGAATCACTTTCAACTTTAACACCATCTTCATTAGAATCAATAATAAATAATAAATCTATTGATAATCAATTACAAAAAACAAATAATAATAATACTAATTTATCTTCGAATATTTCCTCTGATATGAGAGATTTTTCAGAAGATAGTCTTAATGAACATGAACACATTCAAAGATTACTCAAACAAAGTAAGTTCTTTACATGTAGTCAGAAAAAAAAGTATTCAAACTGATATCTATCTGCGTTTGGGGTTGAGTTACGATTGTTTTTATTGAATTTTCGTGCATAAACAAACGCCAACGATCGTTAGACCTTTTTGTGTAAAATCTCAGATCGAAATTCTGTTTAATATCGAAAAATCGGTGAAAAATTCAGTTAAACGGTCATAACTCGTCTTCAGAGGTTCATGGGCACGAATCATTCTAGGATATTTCCAGTCTTATCGAGACCTTCGTAATGGCGAGTATCAGTTTGGGTAGTTCCCACATCAACACTCTAGATTATTACTTCAACTTAACAGGACTCAATTTTTCGATTTTCTCTTAACTTGTGTTTTTAGAAAACTTGTCCATGAAAAATCCGAGGAGTATGGGTTTAGAACAGTTAGTTTTTTATAAATATTAATGAAGAAATTGAAAAATCCAGCTCTATTAAATTGTATAGCTAATTTTTGCATTCATTTTGACACCAAGCTCAGCTTTCTAACGTTGAAAATGGCGAAGATATCTGGAACGCACGAAAACATAAAAATCAAAAACCTTATTTTGAGAAAAAATATTATTTTCTTCTGTGAATGGTTCAGAAAAACCTATGTTATACTCTTAAATCTCATCATAAAATCAATAAATTATATTGCATTCGAAAGTAGACACTTTGCCCTATCTAATGAGTTATAAATCACACAATTGACTTTTTTTTGGACCCTTAAGGGGACCTCTTTTCCCAACCCAAAATATTTTTAATGTTTAGTATATACATCTAAATGCTTTCTATCTAATGAGCACATTTTAAGGAGGTAAAACCATCTTTTTGCATATAAAAAAAACTCAATTTTATGCGAAAAAAGCCAAAAAGTGTAACTTTCTTTGCGGTTTTTAAACAAAAAATTGAAGTTTTCCACATTTTTCTCCTCGACGATGTTTCGACCGATTGGACTCAAACTTTGTTATAAATACTTCAATCAAATTGGGATACGTGTGTTCTTTTTCTCTTGAAAAGGTTGTACCTAACAAGTTTGACAGATTTTACAAAATTAGCACCATTTGAAAATAGGTTTTTTTGTAATGTCTCCATTGTTTTGCTTCTCCTGAGCCATAGGAACTTCCTAGTTACCACAGAAAAATTTCGAGCGGTTAATCAGTTGGTGAATTTCCTTTGTAATCTATTTTTTGATCGATTTTCTGTAAACTATTTCTCAGGTTATGTTCAAGTGTAGTTTGATAAATCGTTATAATCTTTAATTTAGATGCATCAATAAATACAACAAAGAATACTAATAAACAAACTCATTCATTGAATGATACTGTTCAAAATGAAAATATTGAAGAAGAATATTTTCTTTCAATTGATAATAATCGATCATCATCATTGATAAAATCTCGATCAATATCATTAAGACAAAAATCATTAGTACATCGTTTAATATTTCCACAACGTCTTGGTCGTATGATATTTTATCGTCGAATATTATCAGATTCGGATATTTATCAAAAACTTTGTTCAAAAGATAATGAAATTTATCATAATGTTTATCATTTAGATACAATACGTGATTATTCAATGGAATTTTATATGTTAACAAGTTATGCATCAGATTCTGAACTACGTGCTTGGATTGATAGTAATGACGATGAAATAGTTAATAATGTATGTCGTATGAATAAAAATGATGATGATGATGATGAAATTCCAATAAAAACTATTCATAGTCAAGATAGTCTTAATCAAAATGAAGAACTTGATTGGTATTCTGAACTTGAAATTGTTCATTTACCATTAAATAATCAACAAGTAAAAAAAAAAAAGAAAAACAAATTTAATATCATACAAAATTTTTCTTTAATTAAGGAAAATCATAAAAATATATCGAATTATTCCAATAAAGTTCATGACAAAGAATTATTACATAATGAACAGGTTACTTATATTTTATTTTTGAGAAAAAAATAAATAAATCAAAATAATCATGTCTGTTTCTATTTACAGTTTCCTCTAACAACAATTTCAACCGATTTAATTTCATCTTCATCAATCCTATCAAATGATACTTCAAATAAACATTATTCAACTTCCTTACCATCTAATATCCCTAGTGAAACTAATTTATTATTGCAAGAAATTTTCCGTACATCATGTACACGTTGTCCATCAATATCCAATACTATCGAACAACAAACACATATTGATCAATGTGACAATGATTCCACATCATCAATAATAACAGAAGAATTTAAACCTGATTTTTATTATTTATGTCCAATTACAAATACAACAAATTTTTCAAAAACTGATTATAAACCTTTATTTCATGATTTTTAAATAATTATTCAATGCCAGATATATATATATATTGTTATATCTATATTTTTATTAATCTTCGTTTTTTTGTTATTAAACTAAACTAACAATAAAATCAAATGTTGAGAGATTAAGTAGTAAAACATCGAAAAGAAAATTTGAAAACAAAGATGTCAAAATGACGTCGAACTAAGACGTGGGTGTTGGGTATAAAATGTAGATAAGGATATCGCATTAGAATTAAATAATGCTAGCATTTTTGCACTATTATTAACCAGTAACATTGATACTTCAGCATTACAGTTAATCAACGTCAAAATATTAGCAGTATTTTTAATTCAATGTAAGTTTTGCAGGACTACCTGGAAATACTATTGATAACATTTCAACTACTGTCAGAAGCATCTCAAGTGTTGTCTGTGGATTTGGGTCACCTCTTTACCTACAGCCAACGCTACACATATACTCGTACTAGAGCTGATCGGGTCTAAGAATTTTTGAACCTGATCAACTCCACCCTACATCCCCACACGCTTCGAAATCTTCATTTTCGATATTTTCCTTTCGATATTTAACTACTTTCTCAAATATTGATCATGTATTATCTCCAAGTAATTGATCAAGTAAAACTAAAATAAAATTAATAAAAATAAAATATTGATTTTAATAAAAAAAAAAAAAAGAATTTACGTTCAATATCAATTTTTTTTTCTTCATCATTTAAACCTAATTGAATAAGATCATCAATTTCATCATCAGCTAATGGTTCACCAAATGTACGCATTGTTTCTCGAAATTTTTCAATATCAATAAAACCTTCTTTTGTATGATCAAATCTTGTTAATGCTTTATGAAGTGTATTTCGATCATTATTAATCGTTGTCCATGGTTCATCAAGTATTTCTATGAAATCTTCGAATGTTAATTCGAATTTCTCTTAACACAAAAATAAAAAACAAAAACTATTTATATAAATATCAAATAATTAAAAAAAAAAAGGTTTTTATATTTCTACCATCTTCTTCAAGTTCACGAATTCGTCTATTACAATCTATTTGTGATGGGTTTCTACCAAATACTTGTAATACTTCTAATAAACGATTAACATGAATAGTATCAAGTTCAGGATTATCTTTAAATTTTGAAAATAATTCATTCATCATTAATTCTTTAAATAAAAGACAAAATCAATTATTAATCAAACAAATGTAAAAAAAAAAAGAATAACATACGTGAATCTTCATTCATTCCATCATTAGGAAAATCATCATCAAGACGTGGACTTTCTTCATCAGCCTGGAAAATATAATTATTTTTAATTACATAAAATTCTTTCAGTTTTACTTCCTTACCATTTGTTCGTTGATTATGTAAATGACATT